GCATGTATGGGTTATTTCTTCTTCTCTCCTCGCATTTTAGATGTCTTTTTACCACATAGCGCTAAGCCATAGGGAAACATAGATGTGTTTCTTCAAATGCCCAACTTGGATAATCAAACAAATTAAGGAACAAGTTCTTGCCTCAGGACCACTGCCATTCTCTGCACCTGTAACTCAGAGAATGAAAGTGCTGGTTATTTACGTTGTACTTTCCGCCTCTTGGATCTCTTGTTTTTATAGCCCTTTTACCCAAGTAATGAGGATTCTTCCCCTCACTTCACCTCCCCATCCCCCCCCCCCCCCCCCCCCCCCCCCCCCCCCCCCCCCCCCCCCCCCCCCCCCTCCGCCCCCCCCCCCCCGCCCCGACCCCAGAACTGAGTGGCTTAGGAGGAGATCTGTAACTGGGATGAAGCAGCTGTTGGCTTCATGCCGTCCTCTAACTTGATTATTCTTTGGACACGTTAGGCAAGCATTAGTGATTGATAATGACGCTAATTAACCCCTTTCCTTTCCAAACAGTAAACTGCTACCAGCAGGATGCTACAAACAATAAATATAAAACACTGCATACATCAGTATCTGTTTAAAGCACAACTTCATTTGGGCACGTTTAACCGCACTGCTTCCAGTTAACAATTTGCTATTTATTCAAGCACTTCTCCAAAAGCCAGAGGGGGGAAGCAGAGGAAGAGAGAGGGTTAAGAAAAGGGGCCTGCGGCTTTAAGACCACAAAATGCTGTCATACCTGTCAGCTGCAGCAAAGTTAAGCTCTAATGGAAACCATGCGTAATTTTTTTTTAAATTTCAGGTCAATACTTTTTAAAAAACTTAATTAATCCAGTTCTGTTCTTAACCTATTTAAACCTAACACAAGGCTGATGACCACATATGAGATTTTTTTTCTTTGTGGGGAGAAAGCAGCTCTCCTGCCTGACCTGGAATTATTATGAATTTACTTTTGATTGAGAAAGGAATGGGGAGACATTGTTTTGTAAAGAGTGGTGAAATTTAGATTTTAAGCAGCATTTGGGGAAACCAGGGCAAATTTGATCTGATTGTGCAATCCAACATAACCTGAGTTGTGAAGAAATGTACATTAAATTTGAAATTTTGATAAATGAATATTCCTAGCAAGTGAATACAATGTATTCAATTAACTAAAACCCTGTGCACTTCTGAACTGAAGTGGAATCGACTGTAATTGATTTATTTGAAACCAGAGGTTAAGGACTGAATTAGCTAAGTACAACTGGGTATTTCAAGCCACTGACTTCTCAAATGTCAAATCCCTTCTATTTTAAATATTATTTCAGCTGCGGGGCATTGCAGTCCTGATGGTAGTTCCATCAAGAACTCAAATTATATTAATATTCGATTTGGGGGAGGAATGGATTGGATTGTGATTTTTAAAGGGTGTTGGAAAATAGAAGGGGTAATGATGACTGCCAAACTGGAAGGAACATTGTGTTTCCATAAAAATTGGGCGTGGTAATTAGCACAGCCTAGCAAGCACCCTCATAATTCAACTGTGTATCCTAACTTGAGTCAATCCAAAGAGAATCACTATTGTTAGTATATAAGTACCTGACCTGTCAAGTAATCACCATGTGTTTTAGAAAATACACGTTGGTCACAACAGAGAAAGCCAAAATCCGTATAGCCATAAAAGTCATTTTTAATAACACCCCCTCCAATCGCCCCACCCCTTAAAAATATGCATAGTTTCTTTAAATGTTTTGTTTAAAGAAAAAGAAAATGACAATATCATGATCCTCCGCATGTCCTACTACAGAATAAAAACAACTAATTCTGTGCATTTGGAAACCATTGTTTATTGTGACCTTGCAATGTTCTAACACACTATTTCCCTTCTATCCTTCTCAGGATGCAAGGATTATACTGGGTTCGGGTTTTCCAACATAACAAGCATCTGTAAATCCAGATACGAATGAATGGTATTTAATACGATTGTTTTCGTTTTAAAATGAGTATTTATGTGTCATTGGAGAAAGAGAAGCAAATGTATGGCTGTTTATGAATGCTATTGTGCCCGAGGTTAGGATCCTCACACAATCTGAGATGCAGCCAAGAAAAACAGCCTTGATAGACAATGCTTCACTTCCCCTGCTACGGTGCTGTGTGCATTTCATTTCTGTCAAGAGTATGTACAGTTACGGTTCATTCGCCTCATTATTTTGTTACATCTACGTTACAGTTAACCAGTCTCTCTAGGAAATAATAAATAACCGCTTTAAAAAACAATTGCCGCATCGCGTTCTGAGAGTACACTTTCCATCTGAAATTTTTTTTTTTAAACCCACCATTGTTATGAATTCTCTGGCTTCGGAAAATAGAATTTAGAGTCCACCAACTCTCGTTCGTCTGTCGAGATTGATTTTACACCGCCTTCCATAAGGAGATTAGAAAGCAAAAGTCTGCAAAATGGACACTGTCTAATGCTTTGCTTCTTTAGTCCTTCAGAATGTCAAACCGGAAGAACAAATGTTGAATCTCCTCCGGTATGTATGCCTAGATACTTTCCCTATGACCTTTCCTGTGAACCTTCCAGTTAACAACCTCCACTTTCTTCTTTTAAACCATTAAAAATCCTCCTCACTCCCAAAGCAAAGACTTTCCAAATCAGTTTACAAAAGCTCTGAATTCGCCATTTTTATGTACAGGAAGTCCTTCCTTCTGTGAGGGCTAAGCGCTAGGACGGGCCTGCGGGGGGCGGGATCCGCAGCCCTCCCCCTCCCTCCCCGCCCCACCTCAGAGAAGCTTTTGTATTTCTAAAAGGTCCTAGGAGGAGCCCTGTGGTGAGGGAAAGGGGTGGGTGCGCATTTAGGGGGCAGGCAGAAAAGATTCTGGGAACCAACAGAGCTTCCCAGTCCCCTCTGCTACCTCAAGAGCTACTACGAACAGCACAGTAATGAATTCATCTCTAAATGAAATATTAAAATACGTGGGAGACGATGTGTCCTCTCTGTCCCTGCTCCGTGTACATTTCTGCCACTCTTCCCAGAAAACTAGAGCTAGTTTTCACTCATTTGCATGGCTTAGCCACTGAGAAGCCAGAGCAAGTAAGTGAATTTTGCAGTGGGTATTTCCTTTGTGTTAATGAACTAACAGTTTAAATTTCAGTTATCCTCCGAGACAGATTCCAAAGTAGCTATGGAGGGCGAGCGAGAGGTTCTTCTGTCTGCTCTCCATCTTCCTTGTCATCCTTAATGTTTGGCTCTGAAGGTTTTATATTTTGGTTTTCAAAACACAAATGAAAACCTAAAGGATCAACATAAATAAAACTTTATTTTTTATAATAAAATTAATGTTTCTAGTAAGGAAAAGATAGTATGTCATTCCTTTAGCAGTACAAACAATCTTTTATCCAAAAGAATACATTGGGTTTTATTGTGTCATTTGTCTGAATACAGACTCAGTGGAATATCTAAATGATACCCTGCTCTGAACTCCAAGTTGAAAGTAAGTTTTTATTATACTTGAGGGAAACAATGGGTTCAGCTGCTTATTGCAAGGAGCAATTGCCAAGGGAGAGTTAAACTCAATTACTGTAACCATACTGAATAAAAAATACTGCCAAGAACAAAAATACGCCTGGGTAAAGACAGCCACTGAATAAAAAAAATCGACATAAAGCGTATCAAATATTTATTTATCTGGGCAACAAAGGACTATGATACATTGACAGGCATGGAAACTACTGCCAGCACAACTCAGTACAATACAGCTAGAACTGCTTCCAAAATGGCCAGTGAGAATACAGAATACCAGGTGGTCCCAAATGTTTGAAGTTCTTTGAATAAAAAGGGGGGGGGAATCCCTAACCCTCGGTTTAAAGACAATACTCATTTATTGCTCAAATGATGCTTTTAAGGGAGGACAGTGGAATAAAATAAACTTTTCTTTTTTCTCCCCACAATACATAGAACGGCTATCAAACCACTCAAGTTAAAAATCTTTCCAGGGTCCAATATCACTTTTTTCTTTCAGTTCAATGAAAAGCTAAATGTAATACTAATTATTTATAAAATTTTATTTTACTTTTTTTATTTGTTCAGCTGTTTCATTGTCATCTTTAACATGCTACAACAGGGCTAAATTCATGAATACCAGAGGGAAAAAAAAAAAATCCCCCAAACCTTGGATTCCTAAATAAGTACCATGAACCACATGAAGAACTAATAGGGAAGATTCAAAACCCACTAAACAAGAGGTAAACGAGATCACCAGATAAATTAAAAAAAAAAAAGGCTTAAAACAGACTCACCATATTTACAATTCCCATTAAATTACACATAAATAAATATATACAGAGACGTGAACACTGATTCCCTTATAGAACTGTGAATCGTGTTGCCAGAGAGAGTTCAAGTTGGTCGCTTTACCTTGAAGAGGGAAAACTTCTAGAACTGAAGACAAGACATGGAACTTCGAGTATCTGTGTTCAAGTTTATTCACAATACTGATAAAAATGTCATTAGCCTTTTTTGCCATTTTTTTCTTTTTTTTTTTTTTTTTAGTATGGCTACAATCTGAAGTATGTAAGAGAAGGTGGTGATTCCGTCCCATGAAGCTCATATATTTTTTTTTAATTTTTACGTTCTTTTTTCTAAAAAAAAAAGTTTTAAATTTTTTTCGTTGTCGTTGTTGATTTGTTAGTTTAAAAAAAAAAAAGGTTCACAAACTCGGACAGAACTTTTCTTTGCTGGCTTCACGGCCTGTTCTGTTCTCTTAGGCTCCACACGAGGGCAAAGGGGAGTTGGTGCTGATGGAGGAAGTCGGGGCCGGGGCCGGGGCCTGAGACTGCGGGATCGCCCCGCTCACAGTGGAGCGCTGTCCCCGGGACCCTGAGACTCCGGACCGAAGGCGGTGGCGGCAGCGGCGGCAGCAGCAGCAGCAGTAGCAGCAGTGGGGGGTTGCTGATCCCGGAGCTGTCACCTGCCGGTGGTGATCGGTGGGGGGGGGGGGGGGTGATGGAGATGGAGATGGCGATGATGGAGATGATGGAGATGATGGCGATGGAGACGGAGTGGGTGGGCGCGCCGGGGCCGGGGAGGCGGCGCGGGCAGGGGGTGGGGCAGGAAGAGCGCCTCACTTTCTGTGTTTCTCCTCTTTGTCACTGCTTTTGGCGCTGCTGTCCGTGTGGCTGTTCGGGTTGTTGCTGAGGTACATTTTGTCCATGGCCTTGAGAGCCTCGGTGAGATAGTTCTGCAGGGCCGTGACCGCGGCGCACACCGCCGGGCTTCCGAAGCCGTGGGAGATGAGGTTGAAGTGGGTCAAGCAGCTCTGGATGCCCGGCTCCAGGATGGGGTTGGGCCTCGAGTTCCCCAGGGGAGATCGGTCCTGAGCCAGCAGGTCGGTGAACTCCTTGCATATCTGTCTGCAGCACAAGTGGAGCGGAGAGAGAGAGAGAGAGATGAGGCTGGGCAGCCAGCAGCATCCGCAGCAAAGAGAAAACCTTGCTCCCTGCCGTTACCTCTGCCTGGATCACGCCGACACCTGACCTGACCCAGAGCCCCAGAGACAGACTGGGGGGGAGGGGCACATGTTGGGAGACCCAGCCACCTGTCAGAGTCCGCCTAAACATCTCCTGCTCTTTAAACACTTCCACACATGCCTCTCTCTTGTCTTTCTGTGTGTGTGTGTGTCTCTCTCTCACCTCTCAGCTGCACCAAACTTCTAACCCCCTCCTCTCTCGCTCACACCAAGCATCCTAGACGCAAGAAAACATTTCACACGTTAGGAGAGAGACAAAGGTGAGTCAGAGGGGCAAGGAGTCAGAAACGCAAGCATCTCTTCAACAGCCAATAGCATGCACCCATCAGCTGTCCTGCTCAAAATACTATGGAGCCCCCTCTTCCCTAATCTTCTAGAGACCTGGGCAGCAGTTTGGGGGGATGAACTCTCCACTCATTCACCTTCAGATCAGGGTGGATGTGCACAAGAAAGGCAAAACTTTTCTTGGGATTATTTTGCCTTTAAAAATAAAAGTCACCAGAAAAAAAAAATGTTCCTTGGGGATAAGTCAGAGTGGTTTGGGGAAGAAGAAACAGACATTTCAATCGCCCATTCCACCTCTTTTCCCATACACCAAAAAAACTTGTCTAGGGAAATTGTGAATATGGGTGTGTTTAGGAAGCTAAAAGAACAGGGAAAAGTTGAAATATGGGCGATGCAGCCTGCACAGGGGAAGCTCAGTCTCTGAATCTGGGAAGCAAGGACTAGGTGGGCCTCCCTGAGGCAGCAGCAGCCTTTGGGTGGGGGGCTGTGAAGGGAGGATGGAGAACAGGAAGCAGTGGCAGGCTACCTCCTCCAAGGCCAGCTGGTGTCCCCAGGCCAGAAACTGCCCTGCCTGAGGCCGCTGCCTCCGCTTCCATGCCCTCCTGTGACATCGACTTTGATAATTAAGGGCTTCCAAACAAGCCTTTTAATTTCCAGAAAACATATCAAAACAGTCATTTTCTTTTCACACACCACCTGCAGAAGCCTATTCAGCCCAGGCACCAATGGGAATATAACTTGGGCCATTTTGAAACCTATTTGACATCTCGCCTGTAGGCTAGAACTTGTGGGGTGTGTGTGTGTGTGTGTGTGTGTGTGTGTGTACACAGCACTTTTGAGGAGGATGGAAAGGAAGTCAAGAAATGGGAGAAGGGATTAGGGTTGAAACTAGGACAGCTTCTGGCTTGAACATTTTGCAGGCCACTGCTTAATCCTTGCCCTTGGAGAACATATTGATAAGAGACAAAAACTGATACAGGCAAGTGTGTCACTCCTTTAAGAACTTGGTTCTGAGAATTTGAAAAAGAATAGATACATGTATGTGTACAGCTGAATCACTTTGCTGTACACCTGAAACTAGCACAACACTGTTAACCAGCTATACTCCAATATAAAATACAAGGTTAAAAAAAAAAAAAGAACCTGATTCTGGTCTTTCTGACCAGAAATAGTCGCAAATCCACATTCAGCTTCCATCAAATCCCTACTATACCCCACCCCCATACACGTTAATTCTTTTTAAAAAAATGAGAACGTGGGGTGAAAGAGAGGGGAAAGTGGGAAATACGCACTCACAATCTTCCTTGTATTGCCCCTTTAAAATCAATTATGGTTTATTAGATTGTGTTGTAACTTCAATATTTACAACAGAGCTGATTAACACAAAAGGAAAAGAGGCCAAAAATGAGAGCAAAAACGATTTTGATTTTTGTTTCTCTTGACAGTGAGACACAGAGACCCCGAAGAGGTAATGTCTTACTTTGTAGCCAGGAGCATGTTTTTTCTTGTCACTTGCTCATTGGGATCGGAATGTTGTCGGTTGAGAAATTCAGCTACTGCTTTGGCAGGAAATTCAGTTTCGCACACATACCCAAAGTCCCTGGCGAGGTGGACGGCCTCTCCTGGCAAGAGGTGAGAGGAGGGGAGCGAGGGCAAGAGAATGAAAAAAGTTGGGATCAAAACTGCCTCCCAACTCCCTTATTTTCTTAACCCAGATGTTGTAGGAAACACACACTACTTGTTTTCCCATTTCAGGCATTTTCTTTCCTTCTCCGTAGGATCTGGTGGCTGCACTTCCCAGGGAAAATGGCCACTTAGCCTAGAAGGCCCAGGCGATTGGAAAATGTAAAATCCCATCAACTCCCCTCCAGCCTCATCCCCAACCCCGATGACATTCCCCCACCTTCTCTTTCAAAATGTTTCTTGTATTCCAGCCTCACACCTATCAACACATTCATAAATGATATTCATAATTACTCCTTGAGCTTTTCTGCACGGGAACGACTAAGGGTTTACATTTTAACTTTATCGCATATAATTATCTGTTCATCCAAACCGATTAACCAAGAGGATTTGAGGGTCACTCCACTGAGTCTGCCTGTGTTGTTGATTTTCGAATCTTTGGTTTTAATTTCCTGAACCAGTTGGTTTTTACTGCAGGGCTTCCTGCCATTAGCTCCAGCTCCGGAAGAACGCATGCGCCAATTAGAGCATCAAAGCCCTCTCCGCTGAGCTTGTTTCCATAAAATGGAGCGGATCACAAACAATAACAGTTCTCCAGAAACTGCTTCCCTGCTACAGGACTCAACCCCAAAACCATGCACACTCTCACACTACACCCAAAGCCGCTACTACCATTTTCTCTGCGTATAATTGTTTTGGGGTCTGAACGGTGGGTTCCCAATGTACTGGTATTATTTTTAATATAATGCTACTGTAGCTGAGTTTCTGGCACTGAACAATTGCTTATGACTTAACAGTCACATTAGTATCATTTTGGGCACCATTAACGAATGGTTCATAGGGTTTCTCCTCAATTTTATGTTTTTAAATATTTTTAAAATTATTTACAAAGCTAGAACTTGAATTCAATTATACTATGTCTCCTCAAATACAAGATATAAATAAGATTAAGTGCCTTCTTTAAATATAAATGGTAGTTTTGAAATCTGCACCATAACTTAAGTGCCTCTCTTTTTCCTGTTGGCATAAGACGTTTCCAACGGAACACAAAGGAAAATGCAAAAGAACGATACATTCATTCCAACACACCCAAACTTAAGCCAATTTAGTATCGGACAAACTTAACAGGGATCTAGAGGAAGTAGGGATGTGACTGCTGTGACTGGATTCTGATGTATCTAGAACAGCGAGTGAGGACAGGGTGAGCCTTTGTTTTGAGGGGTTTAGAAGCGAGTGTGTGTGTGTGTGTGTGTGTGTGTGTGTGTGTGTAAAAAGCTGACATGAGACACTTTCTGCAATGCTTATATTTCTTTTTTCTTTTCCTATCCAAATAACTCAAAGTCTAAAATTGCTCACTTTTCTTCCTCTCCAGTAGAGAAGCACAATTAAATGAGAGATAAGGGAGCATATGTTTGGAAAACAAAAACCTAAAAGGGCATATAACCCTGAGCTTTCAGGATGGTCTTAAATCAGGATGCAGGTCAAAGATTCCCAAATTAATTCAGGAAGTAATGGTCACGCATTTCTCAAACGCAGATGTCAGAATAGCTTAAGTGATTTACTGCTGAGCTCTATAAAGGAGACTGGAACTTGAGGAATATGCAGTTCTTAAGTTTTCACATTGTTTAGGTCAGAATTGGGCTAGAGAGGTGTAATTTTGTGGCAGAGGGGAAGAGGAAAGGAGGACAGGAATAAATGCAAATAGTTTTTTGACACGAATTCCGTTCACTTCTGGTTATGTTTTCTGGAAAAATGAAACTGCCCAACTGACAAAATACAGCCAAACATCTGCCCACTGAATATTAGCCATTTTCTCAGAAGAAACTTCCCTTCTCTTTAGCAAGGGAACTCACTTACCCTCCACTAGTGACGTAAGCAGGGTGACATTGGCAGCTTTACGCCTCCCTGCTGGCAGATTTAATCCTATCTTGTCCAGTTTTTCTCTTAAAGATCTTCCTCCATTTTTAGACTTCGCCCTGTTTCACAAATACATGTGAGAAAGGGATTCAGAAAACATTTGGTTGCTCTGTATCACACTGTAGTCATTTTGACAACTTCCTAAAATGTACTTTTAAAAATTAAGGATCCTGGCCCCGAGATATGTAAGGAAGGGAAACCTAGGAAGGAGTGGTACAGAAAGAACATAGGCGATAAATGCTTGTTAAACTCTAAAGCACCCCCTGTGTTCAGTTATTACTGCAGCTATTGTGGCAGGTTGGAAGGTTCTGATTTCCCAACTCTCTGAAGAGGAACCACAAACAAATAAACACAGCTCTCATCTCTAGGGTGTGAAGTATTTTTGAGTTCAACTGATGACTGTATATTTTCCCTGTTGTTACAATCAGACAAATCCCAATGGGGTCTTTAAATTGTCTTTGCAAGATCTGCTGTTAGGTTATTCAGAGTAACCAAAGTTATCATCACTCTTACGTTTCTTTCTCTGGCTTTAGCCCCAGTGGGAAATTCATTTCACCAACTGTTTACATGCCATGTCACCAGCCTAACTAGAAAATTCAAAAGTTGATATCAGCCTTTAAAAATGTCCCTGGTTTCAGAGACGATGGAGGTGGTTCTAAATAGATGTCTAAATAGACTCCCATAATCAGAAAGTGGTTAAGATAAATTGTTTAAATAAAACAGCAAATTAATTAATTTCAGATTTTATTCCCTACTCAAGTGCTCTTTAATTGTGTGGATTAGATTATACTCCCCTAGGTAAACAGTCTCCAATATTGGGGAGGAGGGAAGGGGGAGAAAAAGGCAGAGGGCGGATTCAGATCTGTGTCAATGAAAGATTACAAAGGGACAGCAAATGACCGTGAAGGAGGAAGGAAAGAGTGGAATAGCTGATGTTAAACTCTGTAGCCTTTGTATGGGATATACCCATCACAGCAGAACTCTGGGTCTATAAACAGATATATGAATAAATGTCAAAAGAATGAAGTTTTGGTCCACTTTCTCATTAAAAATTGAAAAGGAGAAAAAGTAGAAAATATTATCTGGGAAAGTTCAACGCAAGACCCACCACACACAAAACTGGGTGTAACCCTAGGAGCAAAAAGCCCAGAGGAGGGACAAACCTGCCCTGAGGGAAGGTGCTTCACCTCGCCGACCCTTATAAAATCTCATCTACGAAATGAATCATTCCGACCTCGCGCGGGTGAGACAAGAATCCCTGGCCACATATGCAACATGCAATCGTCGGTAGCGACCACACATAATGCACGTAAACGTGCCTCGCACGCTGCCTGGCACACATGGGGACGCGGAACATCGGAACCATTAGTGCGAGCACCTCGCGCGGGAGGGTCTGTTTCTGGTGACCCGGGGGCGTGGCACTAGAGAAAACCATTGTCTTCTACTTAAACCCTATTCAAGAGACGGCGGGCTGCTATCGGAGACCCTATATGGAGGTAAGGCAAAGTGAGGCGCCTGAGCGGAAGTTTTCCTAGGCTTGCAAGGTGTGAACGAGTAGGGAAAAGGCGGGCGCGCGGCGCCCCGCGGCTGCAGCGGCCGGGACTGAGCCCGCGGCGGGGCGAACTGCGCGTGCGCGCGGGGAGGGGGTGGGAGGAGGCAGAGGTCCCACTGAGCGCGCTGCGCCGGCCGACCCGGGCGCGCCCCCGGAACGACGGAGCGCGCGAGAACGCGGCGGAGTGCGCAGGCGCCCGCCGCCTCACCCCGCCCCCAGCACCCACCCACTGGGTTCTACGCTCTTCTCCCCGCCCCTTTCTTTTCCCGCGAAGGGAGGGCCCTGGCGCGAGGCCCGTCCGCGTCGCCGGCCCGGCGCAGGCGCAATGCTTGGCGGGCAGGGCCTCGCTCGGGCCTCACCTCCGCAGCACTCCTCCCAGCAGCGAAGCGTTGAGACACTCCGGCGGTGAGAGGCGCCGCTGTACTTCCGCCACCGTGACCTTGTACTTCGAGGTGGAGCTGAGGAGTGAGAGACGACCCGGAACTGAACAAAAGACTTCGTTGGGGTTCACGACGCCGCCGAAGAGGTTGTCCTTGTTGATGGGGATGGCGGAGACGGCGTTGCTGTTGGACTTGGACAGGGACACGGGGCCTGCGGAGACAGACGGGGAGGCCGCGTGTGGGCGCCGAGGATCCCTCCCGAGCCCTGCCCGACCCCGGCCCTCGTCCCGGCCCGGGCCGGCTCCCAGGCTTGCGCCGCAACCGCCGCTTTTCTTCCAGCCCTGACAATTCCGTGGCTCCTTCCCCATCTCCTGCCCTAGTCCCTGCTCCATCCCGGTACTGGGGATGGAGCCTGTGCCACTCGGCGCGTCTCCCCGGCGGCCGGGGGGGCGGCCCAGCCCCGCCAGCCAGCCCTGTGCTTCTCCCTGGACCCTTGCCATTTAACCGCTGGGGCGCTGTCTAGAGATGGTGGTGAACTCGTGACCCTCCCGGCTCTCAGCATCCGAGGGAAGTGGCCCCCAGACGGGGTGCTGGAGCACGGGCTTGGGGTGCAGCGGAGGGGGTGACGTTTGTAAACCGAGAGCAAGCTATGTAGGCTCGGGAGTTTTCGTGGGGCGAGGGGCTTAGCGTTGGGGAGAAACTGCTTCACAGACCTATAATTAAAATCAGCCGAGAGTTTAGATGGCTAAAGCGGCCTGTAAATGAGCACTTCATTCAAGGCACCAAGCCGGGAAGTGGTGGATGCTGTTGTCACACCCCGTCCTTTTGATAAATAGGCCCTTTCCTATGTTTATCTGTGAAAAAGACTCGAGTTTTGGAAATCCATTCCAAGCCCCGTTTTGAACTGGGAGAAAGAAGGATAAACAGGCCTACCATGGAAAACTAGCAATGTGTTCTTTTGATGAGCAAAGAGTTAATAGTCTTAGGCTTAAGCGTCTTCTTTGGGAAGGGGGGAAGGGGAGGATATGTTCTTGTTAGTTAAAATCATAAGCTCTTCATCATTGGATCCACCATACTTAGAAAAAAATTCGAGGCCAGCAGAAAGTGTACTAACATGTTACATTTCTAACACCAAAATAATTCCGATGCATTCATAACCATTTAAGTACAGTATGCATTTGTATCTTAAAATCCCACATGGAGACATAATAATACATGTATGCATAATAATACATGTATACAGTACTCCTCCCTCTCGAATGGGGATATTTTAGACGTATAGGGAGGTGGGGGGGGCTCTAGGTTTTGGATAGATCACTTGTGACATTAATAGCTCTGGGGAGGCTAATAGAGACAATAGGAGTTAAACGAACTCTTGAGAGATTACTAATAAAAGAGCCAATTATCATGTCGACTTGGAAAGAGCATCTCTTAAGATTTATCCCTTGCACATCTAATTTGACATGACAAAGACTTCACAGATGCAAAAATGAAACTTTAAACTCGCTAACAATATACTGATTGGGGTTAGAAATGGGAACAGTTTTATATAGCATCGTCCTCTGGTGGTGCCTAGAATCCTGAAATGTAACATTGCCACCATAACAAAAAAAAAAAAAAAAAGCTGCTGTGAATAGCATTTAATCCGGTAAACTTTATTTCTACTCACTAAACACAACACAAATTACAAATCCATCCAAATCACTTGACACTTTTAAAAAACAATTTCTGCTCCAAACATTTATGCTAATAAACCTGACATCTTCAAAAAGCTAATTTTAACCAAAAGCCAAATTTTGTTAACCTAATTCACAAAGTTTAAAAAACCCTTAACAGCTAATGAGAAATTAAATTTAAGAACATGAAAGACTTTTTCCCCCTCTGCTAAGGAGTGTTATGTCTTTTTATCATCTGCTCCTATATTAATATTAAATTACTTGCACTGCTTTTAGCATTATACACTTAACACTCATGGCCACTCACGCAATGGATTAACTGAACTGTTAGAACCGTTCCAAAATTGAAATGCCACTTCCAAATCTGTTCAACTATTACACATTTCATGTGTTTGTCCAGATATCATTAAACTAAATTAAATGTTCAAGTCATGAATCAGAACAAAGCTAGCCTGTTGCCATTACTAACATACTGAAAGCCGATCATTTAAGCATTGCTATTCTATGCCTATCTATTCGCTAATTCTGAGCCTTTAGGAAATCCTACTTGGAAAAAAATAAACACAGCTCTGCAAGTTCTTTTAAATAGCACTGTGCCTGTAAGGACATGCTTGGAATGCAGAAGGAAATGGCTTACCTTTCTTAATTACAGTTTGATCTGGGATGTTAATACCCGGGTCTTCTACATGCTGCAACAAAAGGATACACATGGATGTAAATGTATAATCAAAACAAAAGGAAATGAATATTTCGTGCAAGACAGGGGGAGGGGAAGGTGTAGACTCAAAATTCCCCCCTCCCATCTAGTGACATTTATATATAAACATCTCATCTTGGCTCATTGGAATTGGGGGTTTTGCAGCTCAAGAGGTTTCGCTGTACACCCACGGCCAATTTCTCGTTCCCCAGCAAATAATCCACATTTGAAGGAGCTGGGGGTGGGGAATAAAACTTTCTTTGGAAATTAAACCGAGTTTTGATCTTTCTCACAGTCAGTTCAACCTTTAAAAATACACCTAGCTTTAGTTTGGCGCCTCAGCGGCTTCGGACTTGAGCAATTCCAGCGTGCAGGCAGCAAAAGCCAGAGAAACAATAGAAATGACAGTCGGGAGTAACAGGGGAGTATTGGAAACGTTTTAGGTGATGTGATAAAGAGCAAACGTATATACACACCTTCACTTATGGATAAATGAAAAAAATTTAAAAAGGACTACTGTCTAAATTGGATATCAGATAGGGATATGAAAATGATAAAAAGAAACAAACAAACAAAAATCCTTTGAGGTTTTCCTGTGTCCAGTAGCAGATTTGAATTTGTTAGTGTGGGTTTCTTTTTTCCTTTTTTTTTTTTTTTTTTACAGATGGATGGGTATACGTGTGTGCTAGAGTCAAAACGTGATTAGAAAGTAAAATGAAATCGTGTTTTCTAATGCAGAAACTGACAGGCAATATAATGTCTGCCTGTGTTTACAAATTAGCACCAGGGCTGCTGAGATAGAAGATTTCACAATCGTTACCAAACACAGGCATTACCATTAAAAAAACTATTACTTCCTTCTCTAGTCTTTGTCCAACAATAATACTGATTCGAACATTTTCCATTCTGTCTTGGATTTATGCTCCTGTTAATTGTGCCTGATCGCAATGATTCCGGGTGGATGGTACTAAGTTGCTTTATTACAGGTTTTATTATACTCAATGCTCTCATTTGTAACTTGCCTAAAGTGCTTCTGGATTTAAGTATAATTAAATTGAGAAATGTTCAGAAATGACTACTGCTGCAGTTCTTGTGTTTTAACTATATGGGGAAATATGATCCCTTTATGCATGCACCCTAAACCCATAAAGTAAATGTAATGTGGCATAATACTTTTATTTGTGTTATTTCTAGACCTTGTCCATACAGGGAAGACTGTTAAGTTTAAAACCCCACTAAGATATTAATGATTAAATAATTTTCACCATCGATTTGATTTTCTTAAATATTTGGCAGTCGTTCTTATTAAAGGTTAACTGTTGCAGCAATGGGAAAATTGAAAACAACCCTTTTCCTGACCCAAATTCCTTTGAAAGAACTTTTTTTCTTAAAAGGTGGGGGAGGGAAAGGGGAAGAGCAGCAACTGGGTTTCCTTGTTTTTATTTGATCTTTTGATTAATTTCTCCTATAGGCCAATCTCACTACGAAGAGTGACTATACCGGTGTCAAGAATTCACACCAGCCACTTTGGAATTTTTGCAAAGTAGAGCAATTCTAATTCACAGTAGTTCCAAAAGCTCGCAACGTTATTTTGCAATTCAGATATTTCCAAGGAGCAGACTAGGATAAGGATTCAGAGAATCTTTGGGAAGGGGAACTAAAATGATCACAACTTCCAGGTTTGTTTTTTAATGGCCCTTTTCTCAGCTATTGCTCCTCTCATTTCACTTTCCAAGAAATGCACTGTTTAGTATCAGTTTCTAAAAACATGTATGAAAACACACACACACACACACACACACACACACACAATGCTTACTAAACCCCACATTGGATCAACTGCCTACTTTCCTGCTTTCCATGTTACGCTGCTAAACATAACCAACAAATTTCAGTGATTAACTAGGCCAAATGAGAGATGTAATAAATTTTCTATTTTCCTATGTAACTTAAATAATGTTTTAAATTCACCAGGCAAGCAGGTAAGTTCATCTGACCATTTTCTTTCCAATCTAATGCAGTAATCATTAAACTGTCAACGGACATATTGCTGTAATATTTGATGCAGTAATTTGAAATAGCATTTTAGCAAAAATCACATCCAGATACATTTCCTCTCCAAAGAAAAGCAGCATTAACAGAGCCTTTACAGCTTTAATAAAATTATTGGCTTGCTCTAATTCCATTTCAGGAAGGTTGTGAGCAAACCATAAATATGTAGAATTGAAGCAAGAGATGCTGGTTTAAATTTAATTTCATAAAGTATTTTCAAATTATCAGTAGCCTGGTTTGCATTGTAAACAGTAAATGCGCTAATACCATGCTTATTTAGAAATCATTTCAAACTGCATTTATTGATAACTGAATTAGAACTCAAAGAATGCATTGCCCAATAGTCTGAAAACATTCATTTAATATGGGGGTGTAGCGGGTTCTGAGAGGCGTTGGGAACCCAGTTAATGATGTATGAGGTCAGCACTTAGCACCCCTAGGAAGAGAAAAAGGCTGCATTTAATGTCCTCCTCCTCGGACTTGCTACTTACTATTCTTTAATCAGGGTAGGGTATACACATAACTTTCAGATATCACTAGCACTCATAAAATCCGGTAAAAATAATTTTCCTAGTGTGTCTTTCACACTTTCTTTTAAATGGCCAGGGCATTTCAATGAGCCCTTTTGGTTGACTCTAACATGTTTTTCAGGACAGGGAGAAATCCCCACGACAGACACAGTGGTGGAATTAGATCCTCTCCCCGTCGAAACAGTTTACTGTCGTCGAGAGGGGAAGGTACCGTCAACGGTGACATTCGTCTAATTTCTCAATGGTAATATGCAGGCATTGTTTGAAGGAGCTCCAGAAGCCATTGTTCTAGGGGCAGGACCCTCAAGTACAATTCTTTTCCATTTTTTTAAGGCGGCTGTCTCGGTGGGTCCTTAAAGTGTCCACCCGAAAAACCAAAAGGAGATTTCGAGAAAGTAAACGCCAGGCAGGAAAGCCAGGGCCCCCCGGGCTGCACGTTCCGGGCGTTTTCTCGCGGGTGGGTGAGGAGGGTCTGCGTTTTCTCTCCCGCCGCCCGCGGGGCCTCTTACCGGAACGTCCTCGATGGCGTGAGGTAAGGAGTGGATCGGGAGGTCTCCGAGTCCTGAGCCAAGCCCATGGGGGCCGTGCAGGAGGTCCTCGTGCCGCCGGTAGTCCCTGCGGGGATCCAGGCCCGACAGCTGGTGGGGCAGCCCCCGGTGCGCGTGCAGGAGCCCAGACTCCTGGCTCTGCCTCTGGCCGGGCCAGCCCGGGTGCTGCGGCTGCGGCTGGGCGTGCAGTGGGTTCAGGCTGTAGGGGTCGTTGACGTGGGAGTAAGGGTCTTGCGACTGGGGGTAGATAGGCTGGTAGGGCGGGGGGAAGTAGGGGGGCTGGAAGTCGGCATTGGGGGTGTGGGACAGCGGCGGGGCGCTCGTGTAGGGAGATTGACCTACAGTGCCCAGCTGGGGCAACCGTGCCGTCCCGTTGCTGGTGCCGTCGTGACGGTCCTGGAAGAGAGCGAGGGCAAGGGCAGAGAACAAGAAATCAGGCGTCGAGTTACAGCTGCCACACTGAGTGCACGGCTCAGGGCTGCGTGGGAAACGGCCCGTCCCCGTCCGCAGGCCGCCGCGAGAAAGGAGCCCTAGGCGGTTCTTTTCAGAAAATACTCCGGGAGTGAAAAGGGCCCTTCCCCAAACGCAGGGAATTCGACTGTGCCAGTGAGGGGGCATAAGAGACCCTCCTTAGGCGTTTCTTTCAAAGGGGGGAAAAGGCGAAAAAGGGCCTCCCGGAACACAGCCCGTTAAGCTGCGGAGTGGAACCTCCCTTACGCAAAATTAAAATTCCTACTAAATATTAAACAGCAGAAGCGGCCTTTTCTCTGTCCCTGCATTTGAACCTGCCTGCCACTGCGTTATTGTTTACCCTGTTCCATTTATGTGGAGGAAAACAGTCATACCCATTCAAAGGCTATTACCATTTCATGACTATTTAAATAGAGCATATTTCGTAGAGGGCTGTAAGGAAAGCCCACGTTTAAGTTACCAGCTTAAAGAAGGTCTTAGCTGCGGGATGGGGGTCTGTCTTATCCGCTTCCTCAGTTAGGAGCCTTTTTCTGGACAGGGTCGATTTGTGATAGAGACGGGGAGAGAGGGACGTCAAGCCAAGGTTTAAAATGGAAAGATCCAGCCTTGTCCTGGGTTTAAAAGAGAGAGGTGCACCCCGGGGCGGAGGCCCCCGCCCCTTCCACCCCAGCCCCAAAGGGCAGAAGAAACGCCTGACTTGGGTTCCTCTATTGCAATTCGCTTGCAAAACAAGTGAACAGAGTTGATTGCAGGCAATGCGAGCCCTCGGAGGTTCGGCCCCGGACCCCGAGGGGAAGAAGGGGCACACCGGGCAGCATTTTTCCTGTAGCCGGATTAAGCATCAAATGTTGAGAACATCTCGGGAACACGTGAAGAGGCGAGGAAATAAAGACAAACGTGGCAAGAAACACGCCTTGGGAAGTAGCGGCGAGGTAGGGCTGCGCGCCGGGAGAGGTCGAGCGGGGGATGGGGGGTACCGCATTCGGCTGAAGGATGGAAGAGAGGGAGAGATACGAGGAGCGAGGGCAATGCAAACAGAAAGGGGGTGCCCTGAAGGAAAGCCGGGCGAGGAGGACGGGCCGCTCCGCAGCCCCAGGTTCTCCAGAGTAAAATTCCTAAGGAAACAGGGATGGGGGTGGGGATGGGACTCACCATAGCTGAAAAACTGTGAACTAACATCTGCGAAGAGTCTGGGGTAACGAGTCAGGGTGGAAAACAACAAGCAAGCCCGGAGAGCCCGGCTGCCCCGCTGCCCGAGCGCGCCCCACACAAAAGGCGCCGAGAGCCCCGCGCCACCCGGGACTCCGGTCACGGCGCCGCCGCTCCCCCGAGCGCTGGAGCCCCGCTCTGGTCCATCCGAACTTGAACCACCGATTCGAGCGGCGCCTTCAGATGGTCGAACCCACGGTCTCTATCCTGCCGTGAGCGGGTAGGATTCAAAGTTCCTTAAAAAATGAAAAACCTCAAAAAGGCAAAATGCAAGAAGTGTGTGTGTGTGTGTCTGTGTGTGTGTCTGTGTGTGTGTCTGTGCGTGCGCGCGCGCGCGCGTGTTCCTTAATCCGTGTCTCCCCCTCTTTTCTTAGCGGCAGCTTCGCTTGAGCTTCTAATAACCGCGCTGGGCAGCGTTCCTGGAGCCTGCTAATAGCAGATATTCATGACTATTAATATTACACGAATACTTAATAAGGGAAGAATGCCTGGAAATCGAGCGTGAAGCGGAGAGGCAACTCGCGCCGGAGCCGGCTCTCAATGCAGTCCATTGACGGGAGCCTCAGTGTAGCAAATCGGAGGAGGGGAGAGGGAGCGCGAGAGACAAAAAGCGGGCGAGAGAGGGAGCGGGCGAGCGCGCGGGGGGCCGCGGCGCGGCGGCTGGCGAATCACAGGGAAGGGGCAACATTTTAAAAGGTTGCAGGGCAAGCAAAAGTGAAAGAGAAAGAGGGAGAGAGGGAGACCGAGGGCGAGCGCGCAGAAAGGGAGAATGTGTCTGCGTGCGTGTGTGAGAAAGAAAGTGTGGGCGCGAGAGAGGAGCACGGAGTGGGGAGAGGGGAGGGCGGGAAGGAGGGAGAGCCCTAGAGGAGGAAGGGAGGGGGGAGGGGAGGGGGAGGAGGCCGAGCCGGCGCGCACAGAGGGGGAGGCCGCGGGGGAGGGGGAGGGGAGAGGAAGCGAGCGAGGACAATCAGACCTAAAAGGCTGGGGCAGACCTCGGGATGCCGCGGGGGCCGCGCGTCGCGGCCGGGACCTGCCGGGGCTCGCGTCCGGGCGTTCGTCTGGCTCTCGGCGCCCGAGCTGCTTCCCGGGCGCCTCCGGCCGCGGGCTTCTCCGCTCCGCAGCCGGGCCTGGGGCTCGGGGTTCGGCCGGCCGCCCCCGCGCCGCTCTTCCATGGCCTGGCACCCCGCCCGGGCCCGGCCCTCGCCCGGGCCGCCGCTCGAGCTTCCCGCGGACTCCCGGGTCTGGACACTCCGCGGCGGCGGGGGCCCTGCCCTCGGCTCTCCAGGGCCGGGGCTCGCGGAGGGGGAGCCGGGACGCCGCCCGGGGCGCGCAGAGGCGCGAGGCGGCCCAGCCCGGGCGCCGCTGGCACCGGCTCCCGGCTCCCGGCGCAAACCCGTCTGACTGGCTGGGCCACTCCCGCCCGAGGCCCCCCGCCCCCCCGGATGACACGGCTCGCTCTCCCCCAGCCGCCGCTGCCACTCTGCCCGCCGGGGTGTCGGAACAAGCGGCACCTCGCCTCCTGCGTGTCCCTGCAGAGCCCGACATAATTAGACAGCCCCAAGCCGGCTCGGAAACCCGAAATCCCTGCTCCGGCGCTCGCCCACCGCAAAGTTGTTGAAACAGCCTTCGCTCTATTTATCCTCCTCTCCCTCCTCTCGCTTCTCATCTGTTTTTGTCTCACTCACACGCACATGCACACGCGGCCCCACAGGGTCCCTCTCTGGGGGGTGCAAGTGCATCGCCTCCCACCTGGGTCCCACGGGCAGCTCGCGCCGCGCGGAGCTTCGGACCCCGCCCGCCGGGGGTTTCGGCCTCCGAGAAGGTGATTGCCCGAGCCCCGGGCCACAGCCCGGATACGACAATCCACCCTGGGAGGCTTAGGGGCTCAGTGTCACCCTGACCAGGTCGGAAAGGGCCCCCCAGCCCTGAAAACAAAGCGACTGGCCCGACATGGAGTCTCTGCGCCCGCACCGCGCACGACACGAGTCCCCAGATAAGCACCCGTCCGCTTGGGAAGTCACCTCGTGCCCCGGGGGAGGGGGGGAGGGGAAAAAGGAGGACCCGGGAAACGGGAAAGATTTAAAATAGTCTACAGAAAGGAGAGGAGGAAGGGGACGGGTGACACATCGTTCACATAGTCCAGGTTCTGATTTCAAGTGAAGACCCCGCCGCTGCGCCCACACAGACAGCTTGACATTCCCAGCTCCACATGCCAAAAAGAAAGAAAGAGAAAAGAGGAAAGAAAAACTAGCAAAAGCCGGGACTGCCACTTATTATTTACTTAGGTAATCTCTCCGGTCGCGGCCCCCTCCCCTCCCCCTCCCGTGACTCATCGGCTCTTTTTAGCGGGGAGTTGCAAGGGGGTTGGGACAGCGGCCGCCAGGCCCTTTCCCAGCGCCTCCCGCCGGCCGGCCGGTAGTCCTGGGGCTTCCCCGGCTGCCCCAAGAAGGCGAGCTCCGGGAATCGTGGCTTTTAAAATGGGCTCCAGTGCGGCGCGCTCTACCGGCCGGGCGGGCTCCCCGCACCGGAGGCTGCGGCAGCCCCGGCAGGATTCCCACGGTCACGCAGCCGAGTGCCCGGCGGTTGTGTAGGGAGCCGGCGGCCAGCCGGCTCCGCCCGGTGCCGCCTCCCATCCCCACCCCAGGGCTGCGCCCACCAAGTAGCTCAGAGAGAGAAACTGCCTAGAACTTCCTGAATAACATAGTGTACCTGGAGGAGCCCCGCAGCACTTTGGGAGATGAGTGTTCCCAAACTGAGCCCGCTCACTGGGAGGTGCAGCCCAGCTGAGAGCGAATTGCGCGGGGGGGCCCCTTCTCCAAATAGAAAAGAGCCTTTCGAGAAAAGTCGGGTGGGGGGATGGTAGAAAGAAATGAAAGAATGAATACATAAAAGAAGGAATATTAAAGATCAGAGACAAAGTTAAAGAGGGGAAAGGGTTTTCTCGTTCCTTTCTTTTCCTGGTGACTTGGGCCCTCAGAATCTCGTTGGAGAGACACGCAGAGTGCACGGACGCGTGCCCAATTGCCAGCAATTGCTTCGAAAACCAGCTTGTCTCTCTTCGCTCTACTCTTAGGCACAGTCAAAACCGGTCAGGAGGAAAAGGGGGAAGTGGGACAGGGGATCCGAAGGAGGGAAATGAAAGAAGGGAACGTCCTCATCCTCCCTCTGCAGCCTCTCCCCTGCACTCTTTGGGCGAATCGGAGAGGCGGGCGCTGCGCTGGGGAAAGTTTGTCTCACCCGCACCTCGCAGCGGGCTTCGAGGAGGGGAGGAGACGCGGGAAGTACAGCTCCGCGCCTGCGGCCGCGAGGACAACTGAGCTAGCGCCGCGCTTACCTCGCAGTCCTCGTACTTGATATTATCCGTCAGTTTCCAAAGCATTTTCATGGATCGGCGTGAATGGATTTGCCCCCTCTCCGCCTCGCACCCAAGTGGAGCTACTCTCTGGGTAAGCGCAAAGTGCCGGCTGCGGGCGGCGAGCGCCGGAGGAGGAGGAGGGCGAGGAAGAGGGGAGGAGGGCGCAGAGGAGGCGGCGAGAAGGGAAAGAGCTCCCGTGTGCGCTCGGAGATCTCCCTCTAATGGTAGAAACTTTTCCCTTTTCCTGCTCTTTACCAACAGCCTAATCGCCTCATTAGCATATCAACAATAGTCCAATTGCTCGCCAGCACCACAATCTGCCGCCGGCCGCTCCGACCCAGGTATAAAGGCCTCTCCAAGCCGCAAACTTGCTCCTAGAGCGCGCTCCTGCCGGGGAGCCCACGAAATCTCCCTTGAGCCCCGCCGCGCGGCCCTGCCCCGGCGCCCCCGCCCCCATGCCACTCTTCTCTCTCCTCTCCGTCTCCTCCTCGCCGGAGACGCCCCGGCAAAAGCCCGGCACTGCGCAGGGTCCGAGCGACCGCGCCGGGGCCCAGCTTTCGGCACCTCTCCCTCATCCCTGCCTCCACCAGCGGCTCTGTCCTTTCGGCTCCGTCCAATCTTATTAGAAATTACTATCCCTTTCGCAATCAGATGTAACCATCAAACGAAGACCGGCGAAGTCACGTCAGGATTTTTGCCCAACAAAAGATCGCCTCCGCTCCCCGGCAGCTGACACCTCCGGCCGCGGCGCCCTGGGACTTTTACTGGCTTCGCGCTTCCCAGCCCACCCCACCCCCCCAGGTTGGAGATTTTGCCAGACGGCTTCAGTCGCTCGGCTGGGGTTTGGGATCCTTTAATTGCCGCGTGTAAAATAAAAAGTGTACCCTGAAGAGGTTACTTGACAGCTGCAGGGGTTAAATGATTTTCCTCTCATTTGTATGAAGCTAGGGCCGACTGATAATTCAGCGTGGTATTTGGGCTACGGGCTTCCTGGGTGCAGTGTGGACGGGAATACGGAACTCCTATAGAGACTCACAGTCGCTTCTGGAGTTGAGCCGAAATACCGACATGTGTGCGCCGTGTCATGCATGCATCAAAATAAATCGCAGGGAACCAACCCTTCGCCGTGCTAATCTGCTCCAGTTTTCCCAAGATTCCCCTTTTTAATTAAAGCAGGGAGAGTTCCTTCATGATTTGGTGCTGTTACTAACGCGGGCGCTTTCGCGGCTCAGTGCCCGGCTGGCGCGGAACCCGGAGGCCCGGGAGCCACCCCCGTCGTCCAGGTCCGCCAGTCTCGGCTCTCCCGGTCCACACGGGGGCCTGCTCGCCCCACCGGGGCTCTGTAATTTTTTCTTCTGTGAAACAGAGGTTTTCTTTTAAGGAGAGAGAGACCAAAAAAAAAAAAAAAGACGTGATGCGATCCTTGGAAATACAGAGTAATTAATTTATCTGGCCGAGCTTCCTCGTTTGTCCTAGGTCAAAACCTCCTTTCTCCCTCTCGAATGCGGCAAATCCCCCAACAACAGTAGGTCTCGCCTCAGAGTTGCTCTAGGAACGACCTCTGATGCCATCTGGGCCTGTTGCTTGCAAATCTCCCAGCCTCCCTGGTCTCACGGTGCGTCCTCGCCGTGAGGGTAGAGGCTGTCGCGAATGCGAGCGTTGCCTAACAGGTGGAAGGAAGGCGAGAGGAGGGGGACTCGCTCCCCCCCGCCCCCAGCCGCCGAAGGGCAACTCTCCCTCCAGACGACCGCAGCCAATTCCCCAAGCCCGGCAGAGTAGGCCAGAAGCCCCCCGCCCCGAAAGTTAGGGAGAAGACCAGAGCCGCAAGGGAGGTAGAGAGCCGGAGGGGCTCCCTCCGACGCCCTGGGCGCTCCCCTGCACGCCCGGTCCCCGCCTGCGCAAGGCGGCACAGGC